AGGGGTACCTGTGTGCGCTGGGGACCAGAGAATCCTTCTGGCGTGGCTGCGAGCCTGGGCAGCTCAGAAGGGCTGGCACCTACTTGGTGCAGCATCTGCCTTCCCCACAGTCAGGGCACGCTGGATGAGAAAACGAACTGATGCACAATTTGGGTTTTATTTTGTTTTCTCTGCTTCCAATGCAGCAAAGCCTGAGGAGTTCCCACGGAAACCCCTGGGCCTGGAGCTCTCCTTTAACCCAGTAGCCATGAAATGCAACGTGGCAGCCAACAGCCAGAATGGCCGGGTAGGCGAGTACCCCCCGGACAGGGAGCCCCACCTTCCCAGAAGTCCCAGGGCACCGGGAGGAACAACAGCAGTGGAGGCGAGGACTCCCAACCTCCAGGGCAGTGAAGCAGCTGAAATGACGGACTTCCACCTGCATCCTCCTGGCAGGGGGCCGGCGGGAGAGGAGGGTCAGGTGGAGCCCAGTGGGGACAGGCAGCCGCCATCTCTTCTGAAGACGAGCGAGACGCACACCCATCATCACCTCTTGCCCACAACCCTGCCTTCAGAGCAGCCTCTTCTCACTCCTGGCCATGCAATGGTGGACAAAGAGTCAGCCTCCCTTCCCGCCCTGGCTGAGCATGACTCCTTGGGCTTCTCTCTTCAAAACATGCCAAGACCTCCTGACTCAAGCACCACTGAGCTTTCTGCTATGGACCACGTGGTTTGCCTGCCAAATCCTGCTGCCCTGCCGGCAGGAGAACAAGCCTCTTCCCTCTGCAAAGAGAAAGCTCTTGATGTACCCCCTCATCCTCAGCCAGGCAGCTGGCAGCAGCTCTCTGGCGTGCTGCAGCGCGATGGCTCTCCTGGGAGCAAGCGTGGGGAGGAGACAGCTGAGAAGCGCTGCAGAGCAGTGCTGCTGGATAAAACGGACTCAAAGCACTTAGCATCCAAAGCTGCATCCATGGGGGAGCTCACCAGCCCGCAGCAGAACGGGCCAGGGAGCGCCACCAGCACCGTGCACTGGCCAGAGGGCTTGGGCCTGCTCCCTGCACATGGGCTGGCGGGCGGCAGCGTGCCCATCTTGCCCAGCAGCGAGTCGGAGGCAGTGGGGCTGGGTGAAGGCTGCCGCTTCCAGCGGGCACCATCCCCCACAGTGGAGGGGAACAGCCCCTACACCATTATCAAAACCACCACTCCCCTCCACCTGGCCCGTGCAACAGAGCAGGACTTCTCGAACAGAAAGCAGGTGGCACTGCCTCTGCCAGACACTGGACAGCCCCTGCCTGTCACCCCCGTGCCACCATCTCTTGCGCTGGACCCGGAGGAGGGAGATGCCCAGAAAAGCCTCCAGAAACCATTAAATGCACTGACAGCCCCACGACCCCCTCTAAGCCCCAAACCAAAATTCCCACCACAGGTTGCCAAATCCCGCTCAGAGAACAGTTTCCTTTCAGGCTCTCCTCCCCTGGCAAAACTGCCCAAATCGGTGACATTTTAGTCGAGTGGGTGCTTCGGCATTTTTGCCCTGTTTTTGGGACCCCACTCCTTCAGCAGAGCCGTGTTGGGGTGACGGCACAGTGGCCATCACCTGTTGAGCTGTGCTTTGGTACGAGTGCCCTGCCAGGAGGTGGAGCGATGGTCGCCAGCATCAGAGGGCACCACCAAATTGGATTTGTATCTTTCCTATGGACAGGTTGGAAAGCGCTTTCAATCTTTGTTGCTCAGAGTTCCTCGAGCCTCATCACGTGTTGGGGGGAGAGGCAGGGCTGATGAACGTGTTGCGTGTTTACTTCTCCTCCTGCTGTGGGCATCCGTGGCTGTGGAAGCGGGTGCAAGACATAGGAGTCCACAATGCTTTCTTTAAAATGCCCAGTCAGTGCAGCTAACAGCATTGCTTTCAAAGGCCTTTGTAGCAATAGATCTTTATTTCTTTTCCCAGACCTGCAGTTGCAGGCAGCAGCCTTTTTAGGCTGGGCACAGGCACCCTGCTGCCCAGTGTCCGCAATTTGGCAGAGCAGTGCCCAGCAGTGCTCAGCTCCTGCCGCAGCGGTGGATGGTGAACCAGAGGGGAGGTTTCACCCCGGGGGGGGTCCATGGTGAGCCCCCAGGGCAGGACTGCCAACAGAGCCATTCTTCCCCAAGTTCTCAAGGTGACAAGGACAGCGATGAAGGTTGAGCCTGGCCTCTTGGCTGGCCTTTCCCGCATGGGTTCAGGGTGGCGAGCGGGCTCACTGCCTTTCCACTGGATAAACGGGAGAAGGGGCTGCTGGAGGTGAGGTGGTGTCTAATCACGGTGCTCAAGCTGAAGCCTGCTTTTACTTTGAGCAAGTTGTCAGAGCAGAAACAGCATAGGAGCTGGGGAAGGGGACCACATTGCCCAGAGCCTGATCTCAGCCTTTCTGGTTCAGTGCACCCAGAAATCAGCAGCTAAGGAAGGAAACCTGGGTACAGAGGTTTGGAAGATGATGCTGTAGAGCACCAGCATCACCACAGTTCTCTCTTGAGGAAGTGGAGCATCTCCCTTATGAGGAGCGGCTGAGGGAGCTGGGTCTCTTTAGTTTGCAGAAGAGGAGACTGAGGGGAGACCTCATTCATGTTTATAAATATTTAAAGGGTCAGTGTCACGAGGATGGAGTCAGGCTCTTCTCGGTGACAAACAATGATAGGACAAGGGGTAACGGGCACAAGCTGGAACACAGGAGGTTCCACTTAAATTTGAGAAGAAACTTCTTCTCAGTGAGGGTGACAGAGCACTGGAACAGGCTGCCCAGAGAGGTTGTGGAGTCTCCTTCTCTGCAGACATTCAAAACCCGCCTGGACGCCTTCCTGTGCAACCTCATCTGGGTGTTCCTGCTCCGGCAGAGGGATTGGACTGGATGATCTTTTGAGGTCCCTTCCAGTCCCTAACGTTCTGTGATTCTGTGATTCTGTGAAATAGTGTGATAGGTGCCCACTTGCCCTTCATGCACCAAGTCCTGGTGGCCTGTCCATCTCCCCAGTCCAGGGTGTTGCTGCTGCACAGCCCAGACCATTGGCTGGAGGCATGCAGGGACCTGGGGACAGCTCGCCCCGCTGAAAGAGGCAGTCCAGACTTCGCCCCTGCAGGTGAAGGGACTTCATCAGGAAGGCAAATCACTGCAGGCAGCAGGAAATCAGCTAGTCCAGATGTGCTGTATTTGACTCTGCTGTCCAGAAGGGGTGGCTGCAGATGCCGTCTTAGTTGGGACTGTAGGTGAGATTCCCATCCCTTCAATGGATACCCTGGGCAAAAGATCCTTTAAATTCTAAGAAGACTTTGAAAACTGGTTTTTTTAATCTCACAGCCTGCTTCAGTAACGTAACCTGATCTGAAGCCTACCTGGAAACCCAGCTGAAAAATTCCTCTAGATCACTTTGTGGGGCTTATCAGGGTGTTTGTTTTTTTATTGTGTGCATGTGGTCACGTATGTTAGCAGCATCAAAGGGAGGACCCCATTTCTGCTGAGTCTTCAACCTTGCCCATCCTCTCTCTCTCCCTCTGCAAAGCAGGGATAACCATATTAGCTACCTCGCAGGTGTGTTGAGAGAGCCAGGAGTTGCTTTCTAAGGAGAAATGCTGCATGAATGTTCAGTATTTGTGTTTTGAGACACCACAGGTCCTTCTAGGACAGCGGTGCTTGAATCTGTTTTAATTTGGAGTACTTATTTGTATGTTAAAATACCCGGGCAGTATTTCAGGACAGGTGTGGATTGCCTTTCGCTAGCAGCGTGCTGGCCTCTGGAGCTCGCCAAGAAGCAGTGAGAAACCTCTGAGGGCTGGTGGACACCTCTTGCCCTGGTTTCTGTAGCTTGGGGGTTTGTCCTCTCCTCGAAGCACACATAGGACTCCTGCTAACACATCTGAGCATTGGGCTCACGAGTGCAAGAACTGAGACCTCTTTCCCCTCATTTTGACCTTTCTCCCTTTTGGGCACACAGCCTTTGCACGTGTGCCCAGGCTCCCCAGCCAGCCCGTCTGGGATGCTCTGCAGTATTGACATTTAAAAAGGTGGTTCGCTTTACTTTTGGAGGGCTGTCAGATGCACAATACCCATTGCGCGGCCTTTGGTGCGTGGTGTTCAGCAAGAATTTGGAGGGGTTCCTCCCCTCCAAGCCCTAACTGGAACGAGAAGCAAGGTCCTCTGTTGCCTCCAGGCCTGGAGAGGGGAGGTGGGGGCTGGAAGCCACCAGCTGGTTTTAGTGACCTTTGGGCCAGTGGGATCCAGGCTCTGTTCCCAGCAGCGTGCTGCTTGCTGGGAAGCTCTCTGAGCATCTCACTCTGCCACCTAAGGAGCTCTTCCACCTGCAGCCCCTGAAACCTGGGCTGGCTGCAGCAGGCACTGCTTTCCTTGGAGTGATGCTCCTCAGCACATCAAAGAACAATCCCCGGTCTCCTCTCTGCCTCTCGCCACAGATGAAGGTGCCACCGTGGCAGGGCTGTGGCAGCAGAGGCGTGCGGGACATGGCTCAGCCTCGGCTCTTTTGCTGTGGATGGGAAGAAGGGCGAGGGCAGCAGCTCAGCAGGACGAGTAACTGTGGCCCAAGCCACTTGCACCCCTGCCCCGGCCTTGTCCAAGGCTTCAGCCCCAGAGCAAAAGCCACTCTCACCACAAGAAAACTCAGGAAAGCAGCTGCCCCTGTCCTTGCAGCCCTGGGATAGCTCTTGCCCCACTGCTCTCGATGGAGTTTTAAAGACCAGCACTGTGGGTTGGGGACTGGGGTTTACATTTGTAACTGAGCACTTTTGAGCAGCTGCAGTGCCGCTGGGCAGCAGAGCCACAGGGACCAGCACCAGCGTGGGATGGTGGTCGAGGTCAGGGGCTCTCAGCTGTGCACTTTGAGAGCCCAGCTCCCATCTGCTTTTCTTTTTAATTGCTACTCTTGTTTACAGCGTGGAACGCTTGCTCTGTGACTTTTTCTAATATATTATAATTATTACCTTAAAAAAATATTTTTATGTCTGTGCTGGTTTTTTTTAATTAATTTTTTTGTGGGGGGGGTGTTTTTTTTGGTAAAAAAATAATAATTCCTTTTTTACACTGATCCAAACAGACTGTCCAGTGTATTTGATGCTGTGTTTTCCATGGTTGTAATGACAATGGTTAAAGATGTTTAGCATAAAATCAGACTCCATGAGGTTTCTTATGGCAACAGATGCTGCAGCAAGACCAACTGCCTTCTGCTGCTTTTCAGCTTGGTTCACTGGGTGTGCTTCAGCTGCAGCAAGTCCAACCCCCTTCATCTCTGACTTCCTCCCTGCTTTTCTACCACAGTGACATCCAGGCATCCCCAGCAGCAGAAAGAAAACTGCTCCCTTGTGCGTATTGGCCTCCCCTCCCAGCTCAGAGCCCAGGGCAGCATCCTGCCCCCAGTCCCTGCACATCCCACTGCAGCTTGCTGCTTTGTTTTCCTGGGAGGGTTGGATGGGGCAGGGAGTGGGTGGATGCAGCTCCTTCCACGGTGGATGCAGCTGTTCAATGCCATGGTACTTGCAAGTAACCGTGTGAGTCAGGCCTGAGTCACACCTCCGCCAGTCACCGGGGCTGTATGGGCTGTGTGAGCAGCACCTCTGACACCCTCCAGATTGTGCAGCCAGTGGTTCAATGCCATGGTACTGTTGGCTTTGGGGTGTTAAATACGGGCAGTATTCTGGCGTTCCTTACGAGAAAGCTGCCATTTGGTCCTTAAGTGACATGGTTACGTGTTGGGAACCACTGCAGGGTTATCTGTCTCTACCAGAGCGGCACAGAGAGCACAATGACAGCAGAATGGAGGGGCTAGGATTAGCTAAATGCCACCGTAGGCTTTGAGGACAGTGCAGGAAATGTGGCAGCCCTGTGCATCACTCGCTGGGGGCTGCAGGCTGGGTATTCCTGCTTCTAGCAGTGCTCTCCCTTAGCCGAGAGGTCAAACAGGAACAACAAAAAAATGCTCCTACCTTGTTCTCCATCGTCCTTAAGTTAGCTCATTTATAACTGGTTAAAACCCTGGTCTGCAACTCGGGGGGAAAGAGCCAGCACCAGTGAGCACCACAGAGGAGCAGTGCAGGGCAGCTGCAGCTCACGGCACATTTCCCATATCACTGCACAGTGGACACCAGCCACCACGAGCACAGGGGAGGCATCCGTGGGCTGGAGTAAAGCAAACTTCATCCCTCTCGTGTGTCCGCAAGCGGCCCAGCTCCACAAGCTGCTTTGTGTCACCTGGTGACAACCCCAGTGCAGCCGTTTGAGCCCAGGTCTGAATGGCTGTAGTGGTGACCTATGTGACAGGCACTGCAGGGTTCAGTGCATGGCATTTATCTCCCTGCTCTGTGCTGCCAGGGAGGGAGAAGTAGCCAGAAGGGCAGGGTTTCCCCTAGGAAAGGTGAATTGTGCTGGGTTTGAGAGATGTGGCAGGCAGAGTCCTGCTGCTCTCCAAAACAGCCTCAGTTCAACTTGGTCATTGAAAAAAATGGAGGGAGATGTTGCTTACTGGTGT